AGGATACTCAGATCAAACACCACCCCTCGACATGCACTGGCACAGTTGGTTGTAAATAGCTTCTTTTGATGAGACCTGAAGCCTGTACAGAAATTTCAAAATCATGATGAATTTCTCAGGAAGTCCAGAGAAAATAAGCGCTGCAATAGTTGAGGACTCCCAGTTGTTGAGTGTTCGGGAAGCATTTTTGAGGATACACTGTGGCAGGCCCAGGGCCCATCACCGCAAAGCCTGCCTTTCTTGTACAGTAAGCAGAGCAGGCGTGCAGGACCAGCTTGCAGATGCTCCGTCATGGGAGGTGCTTTCCACCAAGCAAGAGCAAGCGGAGAGATTTCCTGCTCTGCCCACACAGGGAACACAGGAAAGCTTGCATTCATTGAGCTCGGTCTGTGCTGTTGCAGGCACCACACTATGCAATCCCTTGCCTAAGCTGGGTGTTTAACCCTGGAAATAAGAAACAGGAGACAGCAGGGCTAAGAGGCAGTGTGGGAAAGCCGAGGCTAGCCATTTTTGTAAAAGTGGGGCCACTTGCCTTGGATGTAGTGCAGGAAGATGAGAGATCTGAGGAGAGAGGAGAAGTGGCCTTTTCTGGAGGTCAGAGTGTATTCAGATCTGTGCTTCACCCTCTGTCTCTGCCATCAGGTATGGTGGCTTTTCCCTGGGAGCCAGCAGTTCCCTCATGCTTCCTCCAAGCCACGAAGTCACTGATGCCATTAAACAAGTGAAGAAAATCTTGGAGCTAGCACAGGTGAGCAGCTGTCCATCATAAGCCCAGATTGCTAGGGTCTCCCAGGCTGGTGTTTGGGATCAGCAGAAGTCTTGAGGACCTGCTCAGCTGAGGCTTGCACAGCCCACATTTCTGATGTGGATCCTGCCCAACACCAGTTGCAAGCCAATGGCCAGGGCAGCAGGCTGTCTCAGGGAACTAACGAGCTGTGGCCAGCTCACTGAAACCTCCGTTCGGCCCTTCTGTGCTGAATTTACCTGGCCTCAGAAGAGAATTTGGGCTGCTTCTTTCTCCTGAATCTGCCTCCAGGCTGTAATGTCTCTGGAAGTTGCCCAGGACCCTTGTTAACAACTGCTGCTGAGAAAAAAAAAGCAGACCTGTCTTACCACTGTGACTAGAGAGTGGAAAGGGGCAGAGGGAAGCTGCGCCTTCTTATCCATGCTGCCCCCTCTGACTTGGAGAATGCAGGCTGCCGAATAGAAAGAAATCTGTGTCAGAGCCATGTAAAACATCACCTGACCCCAGACTCCAGGACCTGCAGCAAAGGTGCTCTCAGAGGGGAAGTAACCGTCTCTTTTCGTGCTGTTTGCAGGGAGGTTCTGGAGATCGGTTTCTCAATAGCTTGGCAAGTTTCATGAAAGGCCTGGATACAAAGAGCAATGTAAAGGTAAATCAATCTACCGCTATGGCTGTGCCTGCTATTTGACGCTCTGGTAGCCTGGCGTTGTTTTTAGTTAGCAGCGTCCCAGCAGCTTGCCGTGGGCAACTGTGCAGGCCAGAGCTGTCTGCATTTAAGTTAAGTTATTTGCTTGGTAGTGGAACAAATGCAACTTGTGTTCTTGCATGGACTCCCCTCAAATCCATTTGTCCTTTGGAGCCCGGCCTTAAGTCCCAGCAGCCAAAATGGTTGTTGTGCTGGATCAGTGCCTCGCAGGCAAGGGCCGTCCTCTTTCTTCCAGCAACCTCTTCTGGTTATTGGTCAGACTGTATGTCCTGGCCCTGAGCAAACTGTAGCTAGAAGGAAGTGGAAAGAAATGATATAGCTTCAACAGAGGAAGGGACGCTCTGCAGGGCTTGGGAGCCTACTAGATAGCTGCTGTGCCTGGTGCCTTTCTTATGCTGATGTGGTGCTTTGCAGGTGTGGTTCAACAACAAAGGCTGGCATGCCATCGCCTCCTTCTTGAATGTGATAAACAATGCCATCCTTCGGGCCAACCTGCAGCAGGGCAAGAACCCCAGTGCTTATGGGATCACTGCCTTCAACCACCCCCTCAACCTTACCAAGCAGCAGCTCTCTGAAGTGGCCCTGTAAGTCCTGATGTGAATGTGGGTGGGTTGGGGCTCATCAGGTGACGTGGGGAATGTCATAGTCCCATTGCAGACCCATTGGTGGACAGTCAAGTGGTGTGTGTTATTGAGGCTTTACCATACTGGCCTTATTTGCTGTGGTTTGGGCAGGCTGCAGCACATGTTGGTGAGCTTTTGCTGTTGAGCAGAACTGCTGTTAAACTCTAATACTTAGACATTCTCATCGCTGGGAACTCTAGTTTATCTCTGATCTCTCACGCAACCTGACTAACCAAAGCACTGGCTTTTCCAAGGCTCCAGATATCACTCACGGTTTCCAGTAGCTGGTGCGAACACGATCAGCTTTGTTAAACAGCCTGCCCCACTGCTTTAGCACTTCTGTATAATCAGTAAATTGTCAGTAAATTTTCAGTAAATTTTCCTCCAAGGAGTTAGAGATACCTGTAGACAGTTTCTTTGCAGTGGTCACAGAGCTAAAGGGAACCTGTTTGCAATGTAAACGTGGCTCCTTGTTTCTCGCTGCTGTGGAAGCTTTCTGCATCTCTGAGCCCCTCTAAGCTCTCTGTAATTTTTAAGAACCAGTGCAAATCCCTGACGTTCTTCTTGAGGAATTTCAGCTGTTAACCCCTCCTTTCTCTCTCAGCCATACCCAGAAAGGCTGGAGGAACCTGGACTCACCAGGGATGTGGTCACTCTCTTGTCCCAAGGTGTCACCACTTCACTGAAAGCCATTGATGGGTCCCGAACAGTTTTGTCCACTGTCCTACCCTGGGAGGCATGCAGTAATGCAGAGGGCTTACTCCGTGCCACTGAGACACTGACTGTTCCGCCACTGTCACAGCCTGGGCTCGTAAGCTACATAGGTAGGATGTATATAGGTACATCCTTCAGATTTTCTAGCAGAGCAGTGGCAGATGAGAGGCAGAGATACCTTTAAACTAAAAAAAATACACATTAAGTGGGAAATAAAGTAACAGAGGGTGGTGATAAGAAAGGCAGAAAGTGGAATGTCATGCTGAAATCACCAACTGAAGATCTCCAGGTTGTGGCACAGTCCTTGAAATGCCGATAGGCTGTGCATGCTCCTGTTGTTATTCACTCAGCTCTGCAGTTAATATAGCCTGGTGCTGTCATCCTTCACCCTGAAAAATAAGGGTAGGAGAACGGGACCCAAATTCTGCACTGCCCTGCATCAGCTGCCTCGCCTCATCTCAAGGGAGCGAGCACCAGCATACAAGCACTTTGCTTCTGTTTTCTTTTGTGCAGGATGACCACGTCCGTGGATGTCCTCGTCTCCATCTGTGTGATCTTTGCCATGTCCTTTGTTCCTGCCAGCTTTGTGGTCTTCCTCATCCAGGAGCGGGTCAGCAAGGCCAAACACTTGCAGTTCATCAGTGGTGTGAAGCCAGTGATCTACTGGTTGGCCAACTTTGTCTGGGATATGGTAAGGGCTGGACAAGAGAGGCTGTTTCATGAAGGGTAGTGTGTCTTCCTGTGAGAATGGTTGGGTCTGAGGAGGAACATGGTTCCCTTCAGCATGGTCGAGGAGGTGGAGCATTTCTTTCTCTGCACAACTGGTCAGCTTTGGCATAAGCCAGGACAGCTACCACAGCTGTGCCCACTGTTCTGTGGGCAGTTAGGCACGGACGCTCTTTATAGGGGTATTGAAAGGCAAGCATTTTCTCCTTTAGTGTAAATATCATGGTGAGGAATGCGTGGTACGACAGTGCAATTACTGGAGGCTAGTGGAGGAACTGAGATGTGAACCTGGGAACCAGTTATGCTGCTGAACTGCTGGGAGACCTTGAGCAAGGCTTTTCCCCTCTGCATCTGTCAGTTTTCCCTAAAACACTTGTCTTTTCATTTCCGGTAAGGATGTCAAGGTAGGGACTGTCCTCCCTTCTGTTTGCAGGATGTCCATTGCACTAAGGTGCAAAATGCAGGAAGGGCTAATGGACACCACATTAGTGCAGAGAATAATGACTGTGCTTATGCCTTCTGCATGTATGCCTTCTTGCCCTCTTTCTTAGGGCAGTGTGGTTCACCCTGGTGGGACAAAGAACGCTGGTCAGAGGATATGGAGTGATTGTAAGCTCCATCATCGGCATTTATGATGTCACTTTAAAATACTGGCCCTCCCAAATAATGTTTGCTTCTGTAGCCACTTGTTCTGCGCCATTCAAAGCAGGCTCTTGCAACCTGTGGTGTCCAAAACCTTTGTGAATCTACTGACTACTTCTGTAGGAACCAAAAAATGGAAATGCATGTTTAGTACACTGCAGTTTATATGCAAGACACTCCTAAAAGAGTCTCCCATTGGAAACAGTTCTGAAAACACTGAAGAATGTTGAAAAGCAGTGGTTCAGAGAAGAAAGATACCTTTGATTTTGCCTTCTGGAAACAAATCTGAAGCCATTATCTTTCACCTTCCAGTGCAACTACATTGTTCCAGCGACGCTAGTTATCATCATCTTCATCTGCTTCCAGCAGAAGTCCTATGTGTCCTCCTCCAACCTGCCTGTGCTGGCCCTCCTTTTGCTTCTCTATGGGTAAGGGACTTTTCCTCACAAGGCTGACTGGGGAGGCCTTAGACTTGGAAAGTGCTTGTCTGATGTTGCTGCCTTTCCTTTTGCCAGGTGGTCTATCACTCCTCTCATGTACCCAGCCTCCTTCGTGTTCAAAATCCCCAGCACAGCATATGTTGTGCTGACCAGTGTGAACCTCTTCATTGGCATCAACGGTAGTGTGGCCACCTTTGTCCTGGAGCTCTTCACCAATAACGTACGTTTCACTTCATAAGTTTGGTACTGCCTGTGCCACCAGCAGCTAGTTCTATGTTGTTGCCATGTTGCCCTTAGCAGCCAGCTCCCCAACAAAGCTCGTCCCCAGCCTTTACACACTAATTAATGCAGGAGCTTAAACTAGGTTCTGGTGGAAATGGGTTAAAGTCCATTTCAGCAATGTTCACAGAATGGTTGAAGTTGGAGACGCCTCTAGAGATTGTCTAGTCCCGCCCCGCTGCTCAAAGCAGGGTCAGCTAGAGATGGTTGCCCAGGACCTTATTTAGTCAGGTTTTGCGTATCTCCAGAGATAGAGACTCGGCAACCTGTTCCAGTGTTCAATCACCCTTAGAGTGAAAAAAAGTTGATTTTTTTTCCCGTATGTTTAAATGGGATTTCCTGTGTGTTCTCGATGAGAGACAGTCTCTATCTAGTACAGACCATTTCAAGCATCTGATTTAGCTGCCCTCAGTCATGCCTTTAGAGGTGGATACCTCTTCACTGGCTGTGCTGGGAACATATGCATCTCGATCAATTTTTTTTCCAAGGCCAGATGCCTAATAAGGATGGTGCAAATTCCCCTCATCCCTGTATGCAACATGCTTATCAGGTCTAGTTTGGCACATACTGATGGGGAGTGCTCTGTGTGGAGGTAGGGTGAGGGATCCTGTGGGACTAACCTGTCTATTGTGTAAGGGTGAGGAGGCAGTCCGTGGTGATGGTCCCTTCTGTGCCCAGGCTTGTCTTAATTCAGTAAAAACATGTACATGCTTGAAGTTAACTGGCCTATAAGAATAGAAACCCTTCTTCAGGTTGCTCTTGGTCTGACCCCTGGGCTGGCTAGTTAACAAAGCCAACACATGTGTTTGCTTGGGAATGGGAGACAAAAACTGGAAGAAAACTAAGGAGGACGGTTTCGGCATCCCATACTGGCTTGACATTAGCTAGGGAATGGGCTACCCACAGGCCCTGAAATGGCTTGTCTGTGCAAGCACAGCTTTCTTCCTCCTCCTCAGCCTGTGGCTTTTCTGTACGTGTTCATCATTTGCAGAGTGCGCCTTTTAGACTGTGAGCATTTAGAGGGATCTCTTCTTTGGTATCGTTTGGGTTTTTTTTTTTTTTTGTATTAATAGCATCTTGAGCAGAGCAAGAGCAGCACTGACTGACCAGAAGAGCCCTTACACTGACACTTAGGGGAGCATTTCTAATCCTTGAGTTTTTGCTGGGTTGCAATGTTGGGGTGGTCACTCACAGCCCAGGTCACACTCGGCAGATGCTGACTGCTCCCTGCTGCTCACTGGCGCTTGGTTTTGTCTTTAACAGAAGCTGAACAACATCAATGACATTCTGAAGTCAGTCTTCCTCATCTTCCCCCACTTCTGTCTGGGACGGGGACTCATTGACATGGTGAAAAACCAGGCTATGGCTGATGCTCTGGAGAGGTTTGGTAAGTGAAGTTGTGTAGGACAGACATAGTGGCCTGAACAGAACAGAGAAAGGTTGAGTCTGCCCCAGATGAGCACCGCTTTGCTCCTCTGAATTATCAGTATCTGAAGGTCCTCAGTTTGCAGCACAGAGATCTGATCACAGCTGGCATTTCTTCACAGCTGTCCCATTCAGGTTGTTACGAGGACCGAAGAGAGTCTGGCAGTTAGATCCCCAAAATTTTGAGTTATTAGAGGCATTAATTAAAAATATATAAAAAGTAAGCTGTATAGATGAGATCATTAGGCTGAACAAAAGGAGTGGCTGAGATTCTGGAGAGATTTTTTCCTGGGCTTTATGGCTAGTGCCAGGCATAAGTCAATCTTCTGTGCTTCACTAGCTTCTCTAGAAGATAGGCCAGCTTTTCTTTGGCAGACTGCAAACTCTCTAGACCTCAGTCCCCTCTTTCTAAGAGCATGTGTCCAGTTGCAGCTTTGCCGCAGTAAGAAATATGCACCTAGCCGCAAATGCCGTGTGCGTGGCCCATCGCTTCTTTCCTCCCATGTGCTGCTCTGCAGTTGGCTCAGTGCCCAATGTGCTGATTTCTGCAGGAAGAAGTGCTAGCCTGTTGCTCTGGAAGGGTGACTGTACTCTTTGTCTCACCTTGGCAGGAGAGAATCGTTTCGTGTCCCCTCTGTCATGGGACCTAGTGGGGAGGAACCTCTTCGCCATGGCAGTGGAGGGTGTAGTCTTCTTCCTCATCACCGTGCTCATCCAGTACAGGTTCTTCATCAAACCCAGGTGCGTTGTTCTGCTCCACTTTACCGCTGCAGGCAGGTGAAGTTTTCCTTGCCGTGAACTATGGAGGCTCTGTCTTCTGTTAATGCTTCATCATGTTGCCCTCTGCAGGCCTGTCTATGCCAAGCTGCCTCCTGTGAATGATGAAGATGAAGATGTAAACAGAGAGAGACAGAGGATAATTAGCGGAGGAGGACAGAGTGACATCTTGGAAATCAAGGAGCTGACCAAGGTGACTGCAAAAGTTCTGTATTTGTCTCCAAGTGTTGCTGGCCTAGACCCATGCAGTTCACCACGGGCCTCATTCATACGAGTTTAGTGGGATCAAAACAGGAGCATGTTTGGATTGTTGAACATGTGTGGCTCTTTAGTTCTCTTTCCTACGGTTGTTCTCTTTTTTTTTTTTTTTTTTTTTTTTTTTGTTTTTTTTTTTCAAAATGAAGGGAAAGTTGATAGGATCTGCATTGGAATCCCCCCTGGAGAAGTACGTTTACGTGTCATACTCATTGCCTTGGTATTGCTTCAGTATTTAAGAGCAACAAAAAGGACAGCATAGAGTGAAATCAGAAGTAGGTGATAATCTTACAATTAACAGGATGGCCTGGTATAGTTTAAACAGCTTCTGGATCAGTCCCTCTCTTATTTTGAAGAGGATGCTGAATTTCTCAGTGTCTGGGACCAGAGGCCAAATAATAGCACCCTCCAAGGTTTGGCACAGATATACTATGGTGGCCCTACAACAGTACATGGGCTCAGAGAGGTGGCATCACAGTTTGTTCCTTCTCCCAGCCCAAAGATTTATGCTTGAAATGAGAGGTTAGAAGTTTATTCTGAAAATGCACTGAAGAGGAACCTTTAAAAGCTGTGAGAATTCAGGCTTTGCTGAAGGGTCAAGCTTGTTCCCTCCTATCTCACACATCCTGGTCAGCGATGGAAACGCTGCAGTTGAATCCTGTTCTCAGACACGCTGTGTTCTTCTACATCCCCAGTGCTTTGGGCTCCTGGGAGTAAATGGTGCTGGCAAGTCATCCACTTTCAAGATGCTAACTGGTGATACAGATGTGACAGGAGGAGACGCTTTTCTCAAAGGAAACAGGTGAAAGACCATGCATCTTTCCTCTGCTTTGTGTCAGATAAAATCCTTGGCTGTTTTCTCTTCCAGCTTTCGTAGCCTTTGTTCCACTTCCAGCAGGTGTAAACTCTGCCACACTTTTGCCTTTTTGAACTGTAGGCATCTGATTCGGGTCTTTGCTGAGTCTGGTAAAGTGCTTCAGTTGCTTTAGAAAATGGATTTAATCTGATAGTCTCTTTTGAATACCTGCATCCATCGTGTTTAAAGGTTACGTTTTAAAACAGTGAATTTGGCCCATACAGACTTTTAGGATCCTGTATTTTTTTTTTTTTTTTTAGAACAGGGATTCCAAAACCACTGATTCATTTTCTTTCTTTTATTACCTAAAATGGCAGCGTGCACTCTGTAAAATCCTAACAAAGGTAGTTTTTCTCTTACAGTATCTTGTCCAACATCCAAGAAGTCCACCAGAACATGGGCTACTGCCCGCAGTTTGACGCCGTTAATGAACTGCTGACGGGGCGAGAACATCTGGAGTTCTTCGCGCTCTTGAGAGGGGTTCCGGAGAAAGAAGTCTGCAAGGTAAAGGAGATGGAGAGGGGAGTGTAGACTACTGCTGTGACCCATCATTCCCACTAACATGTACACTCCCTAGGCGCACACACACAGTGCAATGATAATCTGGACAGCTGATGCAGATATCCCCCCTGCATGGCCCCCTTTTCTTCCAGGGCAAACTAAAGTGGTGGCTCTGATTTTTTTTCAGTGCTGCCCAGCAAAATGTTCTAGATATAAGGGCAGACATTTTAGGTCATGCATTATCTCAGTGGATGCACTTTCTCACTGAATGATTTGTTTTCTGTAGAAGTTTAAGGGCTGAGGAGCTGCAGTTCATGCTGAGCCTCACTTACTGTCAAGAGTTAATTCTCCAAAGTCATAGGGAGCAAATGTATAATAGAACATAACAAAAGCCTCGTGGTGGCTGTTACATCTTTCCAAATGATCCCTCTGTATCATTAAAAATACTACTGTTTCAGCATCTAGCATGAGGTTACACTGAAAAGTCTTTAGGCCATTAGTAATGATCACTGTCAGTATAATATAGCTCCCTGCTCAGTGCCGCTTCCTTGACCTAGCGAGCAGTTTTCATCATCTCCATCCTGGGCACTGCAGAACGTGAACTGCTGTAGGAAAGAAGGTGACATATATGCACCTGATGCTTTGGGTGGGGCCAGACCTGGTGCCTAGGGTATGCCCAGGTAGCAAGAATCCCTCTATGAAACTAAGTGATGAGAGCCCTGCAAGCTCCATGAGGGCCTCAGGCACCTTCCTCTGCGCTATGGTCCTCCAACCCCATGTAAAAAGGGCCCTAGTGCCAGGTGTGATCCAAGTAGTAATTGAATCACCTCTGTTACACGCTTTTTAATGTCCAGGACATTCATGCCTGCCTATTGGCAGGGGGGG